GGCCATTGACAATAATCCAGGGGAACCAGGTGATTTTCGGTTTAACGGCTTCCATGTGCTCGAGGCCACGCAAATACAGACCCCTACCCAACGGCCCCTTTGCGCACTCCTCTATGGCCTCCCATTTTAGGTTCAACTCGTTTGCACACTATTTGAAAGTGGGTAATAAAATTAATAATGCACCTAGCAGAGTTAAGAAATCGATTTTTCCAAATTACTAACCTGCTTTCCGGCGACGTCGGCGTTATCGTATTGAGCAGATTTAAACATGCATGCTAAAAGAGCCAGCGACTGATCCTGGGGCATTATCTCCATAGCACATGACTAATAAAAATCACATTTTAATTCAATACAATTCAAAACATAATTTATATTTAGAAAAATTAAATAAACTAATTGTTAAGTTAAATTTCCAAATAAAATAACTAGATTTAAATTATCAATATAACTCGTACCTGAATTAAAGTGCCAGCCACCTGAGTGGCATTTTTAAACTCTAGATCAAACGTGCCATCGGGCTTGGTGGTTTTGTTAAACCGGCCGTAACTGAACGTGTTCAATTTATACTCGAATATATCACCCAGAGTTTTATACGTCGGGTATAATTGATCGCCAATAAACACTTTGCAATCAATGCAAAAGTATTCAAAGTTAACATCAATAGTGACTTTAGGCGCGGCGTTAATACCGGCGATGGTTAACATTAATGTTAAAAATACGTTTGCCACAAACATGGTTAGTTTATTATGTTACCTAGATAACTAGTTTTCTTAAGTGTATATTCAATATTTTTACTTATGTTTAATGATTTATATTAATTAATTTTATGCCTTTTATATTAATGTTAATAATAATTATCATTATCATTAAGATTATTAATAATTATAAATTGGTGATTAATTTTGATCCTGATAAGTAAAGTCTGAGCGTGCGGTTAAATAACAATGATGTGTATTATTTTAAAGTGCCACTTGAATTAAGTAAAGATCACTGCATTAATTGTATTAATCACATATCACAATATTAATCACATAATATTGCTAACAACTAAATAAACTTTGTCCGTACATATTAACCAAGTGAAATTAATTAAATTTGTATTTCATCGGAGAGTGAAATATTGTACACTTTATATTTAAGTCTAGATTTCAATTTATATCCTTAATACACATATATTAACCAAGTGCATTATGTTTAAGTACATTATATGTAATAAGTTATTAAAAAAGCTAGTTAAAACATTATCACATTAATTTAAATTGCAATACCAAAATAATGTGAATTCATTTAAACTAGTATACAATTTTATATTTTACTGCATATATACATTTACAGTAATTACTAATTACTATATAATAATTACTAATTAATTAATAATAATAATAATAATAATTACTAATTAATTAATAATAATAATAATAATTAATAATCTGTAATTTTAAAAATATTGATTAAAAATATAATATAAAGTAAATCACCTTTTTGTTATTAATAAATAAATAAAGCACAATTTCTCTTAATTGTTTTTATACAAGTACATCTAATCATAATTCTGGAAAATTATTATTAAGGTTATTTTGTATCTACATTAAAACAACCTTCGTTGTACAAAAATTACAACACCAAGTTGTAATGAGAAAATAAATTTACTTACCAACTTATCAAATGAAGAAAAAACTTCCAAATGGCATTAAGTATAGTGTTGTAAATTACATGTAATATAGATTTTTATATTACATATTACAGTCATATGACGTCATATAACGTCACATAGTGTAATATAAAAAACACATTTTGATTAAATAATGCTATTTTAGAAATCATAGCTAAATTTACAATACATTCATCACTTGTATTGCTAATAGATTATCGAAACAAACTTTCTAGTGCTATTTTATTATGTTTTAATTAACCTTTTAAATAATAGCGTTAATTACAATAGCATAATTGCTCAGTCAATAGGTGGCGCCAGAGCTATATTACACTTTTTGTAACATAAAATTTTTATATTACACTTTACATGTCATATAACTGTAATGTAAAGTGTTATATGACGTCATATGACAGAACTCACAACACTAATTAAGTATGATTCATAAAATATTTGATTTTTAGATATTTCTAAATTATTTACACGATTTTTAATATGAGTAATATTTTAATTTACTATATCTATGAATAATACTTAATGCCATTTGGAAGTTTTTTCTTCAAATGTAATAAAATAAACAATTTCTAAATATTATAGTATTTATTAAATGAAATTTCTAATAAATGTTTAAAACATGATATATTTAGCATATTTATATAGATTTTATTCGACCTTTTTGCATACATCCGGTTTAGTACCCTAAACAAATAAATAATTTAAAGCATAAATAAACAACCTTGGTAAGAAATAAATCAAGGTAACAAAAACAAATACAAACCTTATAGGTATCGCAAATAAGACCGACTAGATCAGACTCAGCCCGGGTGGCAATGGCCTGAGTGTGCACACCATTCACTACAACCCACACCACGAAATTGGGTTTCGGGTTTGTCAACGCCTGGAAGCGCTCACCACTCCTGAGGTGTAGTCCCCGACCCAACGGTCCGGACGCGCACTCGTCGATAGCAGTGTAGTTGAAACCCAACTTTGCTGTACACTATAATTGGGGTCATACATACATTTTTATAAACGTGATAAAACTAAACATGTGGTATACACTACCTCTTTGGCAGCGGTGGCCGGTTTAGTGTAGTCTTTGGACGCATACATACAGCCAAACAGTTCCAGCGATCGGGCAATAGTCTCGCTCTCTAGAACACAGTTCTAGATATGATTTTATTGCGCATAGGTGGCATAAAAATTAATTAATTATAGCACATTAATTAGTGAATTCAAAAATAGCAATTTGATCATGCTAGTCTACATACATGTATCTCGTTGCCAATGCACTCCTGTGGCCCGTGTTGACAGGTGAACGTCAGGTCAAAGGTGCCATCTGGCTTGGCTACCTTGGTTGATTTGGCCCAGCCGTATGGCACCATGTTCACATTCATGATTGATGCAAGTTTTTTATAGTTAGGCACTAATTGAGTCTTAATAAACTGCATACAGTCGGGACATAGACTCTCGTAGTAAACGTCTAGCTGTACGGGTGTGTCGGCCGCCGCACATATACCCACGATGGCCAACAGTACCGGTGCTATACATACGCTAAACATCGTGCTTAATCTGGTTGTGTGTGCAAACTAACTAGACTGTTTTCTAATGTGAATCTAGACTGTTTATGTCTGATTGTGAATAATATTTTGTTTTAATTTAACACTATTTATACTTTGTGTTTAAAAAAAATTACTATTATTCGTGTTGTTTGTAATAAACACTGATGTGTTGTTGTAATTATAATCCCACGAGAATAATGTAATATGGTATTATTATTAGTTATGACACGCTTGGAATAAAGTATTATGATTAGTTTTATGATGTGCAAAAAATTGTATATAGTAATTTGACTATGATACAAAATTGGCACCTGTACTAGATGTAAATTATGGTACATTGGGATGATAATCACATGACCTGCCTAGATGATTTTGTAACAACTGTACTGATGGCAAAATAGCATGTGATTGTACAGTGATCTAGATTTTAGAACCTAGATAAATGTATTAGGTTTAGCACAAGGTCTTTTAAACTTTGAAACTAACAGGTTGGTTTTAATACACGGGTTAATGAGAATAAAAATGTACCCTAGTTAAATGACATACAATTAACTGTATTTAGGTATGTGTTTTTAAATCATAACATGATCAGTGAATTACATGTTAATCTCGATTAGTCACCCTGGTCGTACATTGTTGATTAGCTTGTTTAATTGACAATAATTATAATAATGATTATGTAACAGGATCATCTCCCGTAATATTTTATATTAATAATTATTGTAATTTTTTGACCAGTTTTGTGAATAGCATGAAATATTGACAATACATTACTGTTAACTATAATTAAATGTAAAATATGATATTAATTAAAAATTTGCAATGAATTATAAAATACATACAAATAATAGTTTAGGAAAAGTCATCACAAATAGAGTTCCGACAGAAAAGCCGGTTATGAGTCGTTTTGACAGTAATTTCTCTATAAATGCCATTAACGAAAATCACCTGGTTCCCCTGGATTATTGTCAATGGCCAACACACTGACCTAGAGCAACAGACCGCCGAAAAGCATTTGGCCAAGTACATTTGCGATACATACACGGTTAGTTTTGTTTTTATTGCATATTTGACGTGTTTATCATGTTTAGTATTTTGTATATTTTGTTAATTATGCTTATTTTGTAATTATTTTTAGGGGCCAAAACCCGATGCGTGTAAAAATGCTAATTAATGTGCAAGATTGATTGATGGGTCATCCTATTAAACAGTTATTATTAACCTAAATTAATATTAAACTATAAATAATAATTCTGTATAAATTAATGAATTGGTACTTGTATATTAAATTGTTTAATTTAAATTAAAGTATTTAAGTATTCTTCAAACAATAAAAATTAATATTATATTTATCACTCCATAATATTTATGCAATAATATAAAGTTTTTTTCGACAAATATATTGATACTTTATTTTATACTAGGCAAAATTATAAATATGAGCATAATTATAATTCCATATTGTAACAATTTATTGTATAAATGTCATTAGATAAGTTTCTTAAGTATTTTATTATGTTGAAATATAGTTAACAATTATATTTTGAATTATGTTGAAATGTTTTAGAATAGTAAAATTCTTCAACAAACAAGTAAAAATATATTAGTATATTTTTATTACGGTAATCTAATTTTAGCACAAGAAACTTATATTTTTATATAATTTTGAATATTTTAAATTACTACAAAAATAATAATTTTCAAGACAATACAAAGAATTTTTCAAAATAATTATTTTGTGTCATATAAAGCTTTATTTATTATTTGTAAAATTTTACTCATTTTATACTTGGATTTAGATTACAAAACAAGATTAATTTTATTTGATCTTTTACTACAAACTACAAAATTGACAAAAAAATTTAGTATCATTAAGGTGCATCAAACTATTATGTTTGTGCAATACCTATCCTTTGGCATAATCTATTATCTAATAAAATATGCTATGTTAGATATAATAATAGTTTATATTTTACCATAACCAGACATTTAAATTAGTTAAAATAGTGCAAGTAAGCATAATAAATTACTAGTTTGGTAATAGTTCAATTCTAATTGTACACCGTATACCTTATGATAGGTAATGTGCTTTTTATCAGTCAATGTGACCATGTGTCAAGAGTCTGTCAAATTCACACACAAATGAATAAACAATTTTATATAATAATATACTTTATATAAATTGCAACAAAATTAAAAATTACAAAACATTTTCATTAAATATTAAACCACCAAAAAAATGTTTACCATGTATTTCACAACTCTA